CTTGGCAGCGGCGCTGGGATCGTTGTGTTCACTCCCAGGGGAACTACTTCGAGGGTGATGGATGAATTTAATACCTGAGATAAGTGTACGGGTTTTTATAGGCGCAGTCTTGAAACTTTCCGATCGCACCTCGTACTTGCTGCTGCAAGTACCTCAAATCCTACTTCTCTGAGATTGTCTCTGCAGTATGACACTGATCAGTGCACACAGTTTCCTGCACCTGTCTCACACTACCCTCATGCTGCTATGCCACAGGCCATCCACTGTGCAACCATCTCATCTTCCAACACACATCATCACAACTGCCCTTGAATCTATAATGGTACTCAAACACCTTCAACTGGGACATTATTTGTCATAAACTGCCCACAGCATCTGTAGTGTCTGTCATTTATCTCTCTATCAGTAGCTAAATTTAATGTTAACTTGATGCTCATGATGATCTCCTTCTCCAATTAAAAACATTCCACATGCTGAAATCTCCTTTGGGACCTAATGCACCTGGTAACTCAACAACTCTACTGAGTGAGTCTTATGGATACACAACTGGACTAGTATAAGTATGCTCCACTGTATTTGCTCCTTTTGTGGAACTTTCTTGAAGCTATCACATACTTATACAATCCTATTCACCATTTTTAATTTTCATAAATGTAATTTCATGGATAACAGCAGAAAATACAAGCAATTCCTTCAGTCCTAACAGTTAATTAGCATATTCTGAAATGTTAACATAAATGAAAATTAATTATTAAGGCGCTATTAGCAACTGTTAAGAAAAGAAAGTTGTAACTTCCACTGCAACCTCCAATAAAAAAAGAAATAATACCATTTTCAAACTGTGGGCATAACAACATGTTAATTATACTGTGGGGTATCGCAAAAGTCATGTAACTCAAAGTTAAATTTCATGTTTATTTTCATTATCAGATTATAATTATGCATTAAGGTTATATCAACACATGTTAAAAAGTGTCCCCTACCCTGCTGTATATATAACTCAACCTGTCTAAACACATTAATAACAACTATGTGAAGAGCAGTGCTACTGATTAATGTATTAAAAAATGGTTCACTTATATGGTACAGCAGCATCAGGAAGTGCACCTGACTTGCCTGTTAAACCGCTTTACACACCTGTTTGAAAATAATGTTAAACATAGGCTGCAATATTAATAATTAACAGTATGATGCTTGTTACATGAACAAAAAAACAAACAAAAAACTGTCAAATCAGTGTCTTGGAGTGTCAGGAGAAAAAGAGTTATCACTGGGCATGGCAAATTTACATTTCCCTATCACACTAACAAAATATTTACATTTTAAACTTTGGGTTACATATCTTTTGGGATACCTCTACTTCCAGTCCTTTATATGCCTGCATGCACACAGCATAAATCAGCACATTAACTGCAGTGTCCATCTATATCATTAAATAAAATGCTGTCACAACATATAAACACACCTGTGCTTCTCTTTCAGATTGTCGAGAACAGTAATATGAGCGAACTGTATAGCCTTCTCCTAGAATCTTGTTGCGTTTAGAGCTAGGTTGTCCCTCATCATCATCATTATAACTTGGCAGCAACATGCACAACTGCTCCCTCTCACGAGCTGGATCAAAACGTGTCCGGAAAGAAGCATGTTCAAACACACCAAACTTTTCTTGCAACTTCTTGGTATGCTCTTCAACCTCCTGAACCATCGGAAAATACAATAAATTTTATTGAAATACTTTAATTTTGTGGGAATACTTTTGCTTAATTTCTCTTTTGTGTACATCTTTATTGTCTTTTAATAAATCCTGTATCTTATCTGAATACTTCACTATTTCCATTCATCAGCATTAGCATGTTATACTAGCTGACATGTTCCATTCATTTACAATCTCTTCTGATTCACCTCAACTTTCCTATCAACTACATATTATGAAAATAAAAACAAATGTAATTTAGTATGTCATCGCTTTAAGCCATTCTAATCATAAACGTATCAGGGAAAGTTTTACTTGCACAAACTTTACCATATATTTTATCAGAAGATACTCTACCTTTAATTTTTTAACACAGATCTGATCCTTGTACTGGAATATGTAAATTTCCGCTAAAGTTCTAGGAATCTTCATATGGAAAAAGTTACGACATAAGTACCTGTATGCAGGCATCCAGATTATTACGTTTCTTGTTGCGGGCAGATGCAGGCATGGCCTTGCTGTACAGGTAACACTCTCTAACAGGAACCCAGGCCCTGTCATGAGCTCCAAAGAATCTCACATCCACCATCCCCTCTTTGTTGGTACGCATCACCTTGGCAGGCCAGAAGGGGAAGCCCTTCAGTTTGGCCCAAACGAGAACATGTGGCTTACGCTATAAGAGATGTCAGAATGATATTACACAATGTTTATCTATAATCCACAATTCCAAAAATTATTTCATCCCATATGTTACCAGTTATAACTGTCCATCATAAAGCCCTTCAGTGGTAAATGTGTAGTGGCTAGGCATTTTTGGATCAACCAACCAACCAAAAAGCTAACTAAGGGTGGAGTCCTGTGCAAGTGCAAGACATCGTTCCTTCCTAGGTAACACCATTCCTGCATACAAAACGCATTGCTTTAAATGGTAAACAGAGCCTTATAACTTAAACGGGAATTTTGCTTACGCCAACAGGGTTCTGTTGTGGCGGAAGCCTCGACCATTCAAACTAGGGTCTGTTGCTGCTGATGGGAGGGTATCCTGTCAGGCAAGTTGTCCAAAAAATTTGGTTGGTTGGTTGGTTCCCTGGGGTTTCAACCCAGAGAGGGAGGGGCTGCTTTGGCTGAAGGCCTCTGCGGCTTGGGGCATTTTTGGAAGCCTTATACAGGGCACACATAGGTGGTAGGTTTGATTTGGTGGCTCTGATTGGCAGAGCAGAAGAGTGGGCTGCTATCCAATAGGAGAAGAACATAAAATTGAGGAAAAGTGGTAATAAAAAAGTGTAGTGAGGAGAAGAGGTGATGAAAGAAGTGTGTTCACCACGTTAATCAGGGAGGAATATTCATCAATTATGTGGAAAGAAGAGGATGTGATTCTTTGTACACATTTGGAGAAGAGGTAATGTAGAATCAGACCTTTTCAGGCCAGGTGAGGGAGAAAATGTGATGAAAGAAGTCTTAGAGACCAAGAGAAGTGGAAAGGAATGATGAAACAGTCTCTCACTGACCTCATGGGAAGGAGAAGAAGTAAAGAGGATATTTCTTAATATGTGTGGGGAGGAATTTTGTTTTGTCAAAGTCAATGTTGTTTGGTTGCTGTCTAACGTTCAACTACTGCTGATCACTGGTTCTCTTGTCTGGTATCACTGATGTGTTATGTAATCCTAGTGGTGATGTGACAGCCCATTTGGCTAATGTACACCTTACCACAGGAACAATATAGTCTCCTATGTTTCACTATGCCAACAATAAACAATATGTGACCTGTCTAAATCAACAAGACCCTCATGCAATTTTATACACTTCCCACTTACTTATCCATAGATTAAAACATGAAAATTCAGAAAAATCTCATTCAGGAATCCAATCCTCATTTTCACAGCTTATGATTGCACTCAAGTTAGATCATACACATGATAGTTATGTGAACCCATTTGTTTCCCCGCATTATAAAATATATCTTAACGGGAAGCATTTCTTACCTAACTAACTAACTAGATGGCTTACGGAACCCGAAGGTTCATCACCGAATTAACCAAAGCCCTCCACCGGACTCTGTCCTGGGCCAACAAAATCCGGTTTCCTTCAACTCCTATCTCCCATAGATCCCGCCTGGGATTATCCTCCCATCTACATCTAGGTCCCCCCAGCGGTCTCTTCCCTTCAGGTTTCCCAACCAGTACCTGGTGCACACCTCTTGTCCCACCCATGTGTGCTACATGCCCGGCCCATCTCAATCTTCTCGACTTAATCACCCTCACAATACTGGGGGAGCAGTACAGATTTTTAAGCTCGTCATTGTGCAGTTTTCTCCACGCCCCATCGTCTTCCCTCTTAGGCCCAAATATCCTCCTCAACACCCGATTCTCAAACACCTGCAATCTGTGTTTTGATTTGTTATTGTTGTTCCCAAATATTTGAACTTTGTAACCCTTTCAAAGGATTTATTAGCCACCCTAAGATAATTTTGCCCGCCTGTCTTCTGATGACGAGATACTAACATGTACTTAGTTTTTTCTGAATTTACTTCTAGCCCCACTTGTCTACTAGCCTCTAGCAAAACTTCTGCGTTCCTCTTTATTGTATTCATATCGTCCCCCAATAAATTAACATCATCAGCATATGCCAATAGCTGATTTGTCCCATTCAATTGCAAACCCTTACCTACTGTAAACAACTCTGTTCAACATGTTAATACATTGTCCTTGTATCAATCACTCAGTCATGTGAAGTTTGACATCAGTGCACCTACAAAGTGGTGGCCAGTCACAGATGTAATGGATGGTTTAACAGAGGCAGAACAAATTCTTCCAAAACTGGGGTGGAAATAGAATCTTCACTCCCAGTTTACAAATTTTGTAGGTTTTTAGATTAATATGTGGCACTTTAGTACGATGGAAACTGATAATTGTAAATTTATTATGACATCGCTCAAATAAAATCAATTATAAAAATATATTTTCGTAATATAACATGCGGTTGTACAGTTGTTGAATGCTCAAAATAGATACGTACGAGACACTTTCATTGAATGAATGTGAGGCAGTGCATTCAAGCAGGCATTTGAAATGAATTTCTGCATAATTGCGACACATCAACCTACTTTTATTTCATGAGTTTCTGGTACAGTAATATCTGTGTGTCTGTCCCCACTTAATAACTTGCGGATTTTCATCAAAATTTGAATGAACATCATTGCAATGAAGGCATCAGGAATTGTAAATTTCCTATCAACAATTATTCCTACATATGAGAATACTGAGTGATATCACCGAAGGCCAGGTTGAAGGAAAGAGAGGACTAGGAAGAAGATTGATACAGCTAACCGACGATCTTAAACAAGGAAAGAAGATGACGTTCCAGGAATTAAAACGAGAAGCCGAGAATAGGGAAAACTGGAGAGCTCTGTTTGGCAGAGCAATGGACCTGTCGTAAGACAGAACACTGAATAATATAATAATAATAATGTGGCACTGTATATTGTATGAGTACAACAAAATTTGAGCAAACCACATAAATTCTCAGATGAAATTGTGTAACAATCCAGAACAGACAATTTTGCTGTAGTTACTTTCTGAACTCACACAAACTTCAATGAACCATGAATCCTTGCGTGTGTGTGCATTGAGGTAACAGTCTGGGCAGTTTTCAATTTCAGCCATCTCCTGCTTGCAAATCTTCACCAGTACCTTGGCCACACCTGTCAAACGGGACTGATCTGCAACAAACATACACATTACTCAGCAAGAATTATGGCATGAAGAGGAATCACCAACCACTCTGTTTTTAAGAAACAATGAAACTACTTTCTTTTATCAAATCTGCTTTTAATTTACAATGTTAGTAAATATAAAAAATTTTAGGGAAACTTCTGAAAAACAAAATTTATGAACTTCAAACAAATGGAATGAAAGTATAAGAAACTTGTACAGGGGCATAAATTGATTTAAAAAAGACAAACAACTTATATCTAACCTGGCAAAAAGACTAAAACGGTAATCTACTCACACCGATATTTTAAATAGCTAGTAAAAGCACAAACAACTACATACTAAAGAAATTCCAGAAGAGCTGATCAAAGCTGAAACAGAATATAAGGTTCTGAAATCCATAATATTATTAATTCTGTTTGGAATAATGAAGAATTGCACCTGTTCATAAAATGAGTAATAAAACTATTATAATATCAATATTTTTGCCAATACAAATGTTTATTTAACATTCATTTATCAATATTCATATGTAAACAAAATTATTTGTGATCAAATGTAAATTTGAACATAACAGATCAGATATTTAGAGACTTCATTCATCTTTGTACAGACTCAGATAATGCTCAGATAAAGCAACGTGATTTCATGCATTTGACACAAGGGTTAGGCAGCATCTCTATTTCTTGGAGGGAGGTCAAGCCAAATTTAATGCATGGTTTTATTCACCTCATTTCACATATTCTCAACAAAGTTCATATCATGCGTTCATGATGGCCAGTTAATTAGTTAGGCACTGGCCTGCCACAACAGCCATTCTTGCACCACATGAGAATCATGAATGGAGGAATGATCTTGTTGGAAGTGGATTATTCCAGCATCTTACAGATGGCACCATTACACGCTTTAAGATGTGCTTATACTAGAGGCAGTATATGTCCTCTTCTATATGATGGAAAATTTCAGTCCCTTCAGGAAAGATCCAACCATAACAATGAACACACAAGTGACTACTGCAAGTGGAATTTGACACATACTGAAGTAATAGATACAGCCTCACATGTGTTTCATTACAGTATATTAACCATTGACAAAGCAATGTTTGAATTTCCCACCCCCCTTTCATACTGACAGGTGTAACTTTCTCCTTAAATTTCAAACACAAACACGAGTACAAAGAGTGACCATCAGAGTAGTATACAAAACCCTCTCCGAGTCTCTCTTACATAAATACAACCATCCAGCAAAATACATAGTCAACATCAATAACTTTACAGATTAGGCCATGGGGCCTGTTCCATCTCCTTCGGTTAATCATAGATGGTCCTTCAAACTTTTTTCAGTCCTCCATAGTTCCTTCTTCCTGATGGTTCGTAGAGCAGTAGTCTGCGTGGGGTTCTGTGTGGAGGCATTCTGGTCATGTGTTAATTACAATTATTCTTATATGTACTGATAATACTGGTGATGCTCTCTACATTAAACTTTTTACGGATGTCTTCATTCCGTTTGTGGACAAGGAGTGCGTATCCTGTGACTTGTCTTAGCAGTTGCATTTCTGCTGCCTCTAATCTCTTCAGCTGAGATGCTGTAAGCGTCCATGTCTCAGACCCGTATAATAGAGTTGGGATGATCAGTGCTTTATAAAATTTTACAATACTTTCTGTCCTTACGTTCTTCAGTAAGGTTTTCTTAGTTGTACATATAAGCTGTTGAAATTTCATTAGTTTATTGTCAAAATCTTTGGACAGATGTGAGCGAGATTGCATCCTAAATAATTGAAAGAATTCACTTGTTATATAATTTTACTCTGAGTGAGTTCATTCCTACAAAAGCCAAAACTTTAGTTTTCTCTGAAGACATTTCAAGTTACATTTGTTTGCAATGTTACTTAATTTATACACTGCTCTTTGCAGATTATCTTCAAAGTCAGCAGGCGCAACTGGGTCATCTGCAAATAGTAGCGTGTTTAACGAGATATCATCTATGAAGTAAAGTGTTTGTAAATTCCTTCTGTCGTTCTCTGGTGACTTCAACTATGTACGAGGCGCGTCCTCAAAGTAAGTTTCCCACTCGTCCCACAGCTAGCAAACCTTATATTGCGCGAAGCGACTGTGCGTACGTGATAGAGCAATGACGTAGCATGGCGCATGCACTAACGGAACTTCCCGCGTTCTCACA